CCATACTGCCACAGTCCTTACTGCTTCATGACAAACTGTCACTCTGCAGTGCTGTGTCTAGTTGGTAGCTGTAAAATTATTTTGTTTTATGTTGCAAGGGTTAGTATACTGTTGACAGTGCTCAGGAGTAAGACACGTCTCTGCCTTGTGTGATGGTAGCTAAAAAGTGTCAATTCGTGAATTTGATAAAAACAAGATACCAGATATGCCTTTCCACATTATTTGATTGAATAGCACACTTGTTGTATCATACTTTCATACTGCAACATAAATGTATGTACTACCAATGCCCCGACATCCCAAATCGTTACTTTTCATTTCATGTGTTTTAAGTGTGTTTCATATGACCTACCTGTAGATGCACAAACTCCCTGCATTCGTTCAGTATGTTAAACAATTGGATTTGATCTCCAGTTTGGACCAAAAACAAAAACAAAAAACCCTGGCATTGGTCACAAATGCTCAGGCTTGGAGATCTATCTGTGAAATGGATATAAACAGCAGTAGAGTTCATAAACTTTTGATTGAAGTAAAAGTCCCCAGAGGACCTGAGTGTACAAGGCAGATTATGCAGGAGAACTCATACAGATTAATACCATATAGCTAATAACCAACACCTTGTGAACTTTGCCCGGAAACTAATTGGCACCTATTTACAATTGATGGTTTTTAACTGTGTTAGGTGTCTATTTGTTGTTGCTTTTTTAATATGGTAAATATGCCTTGAACCACAATGAGTTGTGGATAGAAAATAGGAGAACTACCAGTAGTTCTCATACACCTACTGTAACAGTTTTGTAAGATGAAATGATTGTTTTTACTTTATCGGTGATAAATTAGTGAAACTCTTCTGAGATTTGAACTTAGTTGTCCCTGGCCCAAAAGATCTCTGATAGTGTTCTTCATTGTGGTACCCACCAGATGTGATCTAGAGAACACCATGTTTGGGCAGGCTGATCAATGTGGTCTCTCTAGTCTCTGTGCAACATAATTGACTCTAGTAAAAGCCATGTCTGACTCTCAGTAGACTAAATTGAATTGTGATACTGACAAGAATTAATGCCAAGATTTTTAAAATAAGTATGCAATGATAGAGGTTGATTTATGACTACTACAGAGCAGACTTTACTGCTTCTGCTGTTAGCACAGAGAAATCCTGATAAGTTAGTTCAGATCATTATTATTTAAATACCTATTCAGGTTAAAAGGGAGGATGAAACAAAATTCATTTCATTTTTCAATTGATCTGCAAATAGCCATGAAAATCAATTTCTTTTCTATGCCCAATTAAAACCAACCATTTCCCTAGCTTCTGGTAAATTCATTCAAAATTAAGCTTGATCTTAAAGGCAGCATGTGATTAGGATCGCCCTTTCTGTCAGGCAGCGGATCAGGAATTGAATATAGTTGCCACCAGACCTTGGGCATGCCATACTGGCTTTGTAATTTCAACAGTATGTGAAGCCAAGAGAAATGCCCTTAAGGGTATGCCACACTTCCATTTAATCATTACAGCGTTCAAAATATTGGCTGTTGTGTAATTGCTGTGAAATCCAGTTATGCAAACTCTAGCGTCTTTCCAAGCTAGAATATTTATAATGGGAAAAGAAGCCAGAATCATAAGGATTTATTTCACATGCTTAAAAAAATATTTGTACTGTGTAATATATCAGAGGGCATATTGGACGGGGTATTGTAGCACTCCTTTGGTGCATCTGGAAGCAAGTTTGTTTTGGAGTCCGGTCATGTGTGAACATGTATGATCATAACCAAAAGGGCTTTGGATTTTAGCTTCTTTTGGATTTTGGAATAATTGCATTTTCATGTTTGTACATAATTAGACATCTTGGAGAATGCACTTGAGTCTAAACATGAATTTTATGTTTTATATACCGTATGTACTTGTGTGTAAGTTGAACTTTTTCTAATGTGGGTCAGTAGATTTGTCTAATGTGTGCCAATGGATTTGCTTTGAGTTTCTTTAGTTCTCACTTAGCCTTATGATTATCTGTTTTAGAGTTTTTATGTTGTTTCATAATTTAATCCATTTTTCTGTGTAATTAATTTTACTAGGTGGATAATTATGTTATTACTCTGCTGCCAAGTATTTTTTCTTAATTGCTGATGATATTTGCTGATATCTTCACTCTGATTAACTTCAGTTGTGTCTAACACAGGCTAATGATAAATAGCTTGATATTGTATGGAGGAGGTATGGTGAAGATGTACAAGGAAGGGTTGAGCTGGATGAAGAATTATGCATAAAATAGTTACCTATATATTACTCTGGGCCCCCGGTGGCAGAGTGAGTTAAAGCGCTGAGCAGCTGACTTGGTGTCTGAAATGTTGCCGGTTTGAATCTGGAGAGCGGTGTGAGCTCCTGCTGTTAGCCCCAGCTTCTGCCAACCTAATATTTTGAAAACATGCAAATGTGAGTAGAGGTGAGTAGCACCGCTCCGGCAGGGAGGTAGCGGCCGCTCCATACAGTCAGGCTATATGATCTTGGAGGCGTCTAGGGAAAATGTCGGCTCTTTGGCTTAGCAGTGGAGATGAGCACCACACCCCAGAGTCGGGGAAACCTTTACCTTTACTATATGTTACTCTTTTGGGAAGGGAATAAGAAAATCACTTTTCTAAAGTGACACAGTAAGTGGAAACAATGCAAATTTGGTAGAAGAGCTGGTATAGCAAGTAACTTTTTCAAAATTTTCATGCTTTAAGTCATTCCAATGTGTATATGCATGTGTTTAGAAAAAGTAATGAAAGGGAGGTAAAGATAACTATCAATCAATGTGACAAGTTACAAAATTTTAAAACGTTTAAAACACAGTGATAATGATGAGATCCAGCATAGTATAGTAATTGGGCTATGACTCTAGAAACCAGGATTTGAATCCCTATTCAGCCATAGAACCCCACTAGTTGACCTTGGACAAGTCACACTCTCTCCACGCCCAAGGAGGACAAGGGCAAATCTCTTCTGAACATATCTTGCTATGAAAATTGTGTCATAGGGTCACCTTAACTTGAAAATGACTTGGAGGTGCACAACAGAACAATGGTAATGAAATACTCTTTGGTAATGAAATACCGAGAATTACTTTTAACCAGTAACTTTCCAAGTTCATGGCTAGACAAATTTAGGAATTCCTCTCTTAGAACTTTCAAGCCATTCCTTTAATGCCAGAAAGGATGATCATCCCCTAAAATTCATTCAGTGCAAACAGCCAAGACATGTATTATTGAGCATGAAAAGCTTGGCTTAATTTAACTGAATGAAATGATGAGGGTATAGGTTGATCATGTCTGCTCATAGTTGTTTTCAAATGGGTACTTATGCAGAGATATTAGAAGGGGGGTTGAGTTATTCCATAAGGAGTCTATCTTCCTTCCAAGTAATTAAGTCTTATAACTAGCTTGGTTTTTGAACTGTGGTGTTTGAGGAAAGTTCTGAGAGTACCTTGGACCGCGAGAAGATCCAACCAGTCCATACTTCAGGAAATAAAGCCTGACTACTCACTTCAGGGAAGGATATTCGAGGCAAAAATGAAGTATTTTGGCCACATAATGAGAAGACAGGAAAGCTTAGAGAAGACAATTATGCTGGGGAAAATGGAAGGAAAAAGGAAGAGGGGGCGACCAAGGGCTAGAAATGACTGGCTTGACTCTGAAGGAGCTGGGAGTGATGACAGCCGACAGGGAGCTGTGGTGTGGGCTGGTCCATGAGGTCACGAAGAGTCAGAAGTGACTGAATGGATGAACAACATCAACAACTAGCATGGTGTTAAGTGGCTTGAGTTTTGGACTAGGACCCCTGCTCAACTATGGAAACCAATAAGGTGTCCTTGGGACAGTCACACTTTCTATGGATTGCTGGGATGTAGTCTTTGAATTGATCTACACTGCCGTACAATCCAGTTTAATGCAGTTAATCTTCATTTTGAAACTGCATTATATAGCAGTGTCGATCCAGCCTAAAATAAACTACCTTTGAAGGACAGAGGCTTTCACTGAAGCAAATGGAGTTTCCACTACAGTCTGGTTCATTAGATGAGTTTTCATTGATGACCCAAGATGTAGACACTACTTGGAAGTGTGAGCCTTAATACAGGCTTGCTTGATCTTGGTATATTGATTCCTAGATCCCAGATTGGTTATTATTAATTAGTCATTTTACTAAAGAGTCTTAGGAAATAATAAAACAATTGCTCGTAAATGCTTTTCTTGTTTCTCTTATATATGGGGCAATTCAAGTTTGTCATTTTTAAAATCTAGATAGTAGACTTTTTTTTTTAAATGGATTATCCAAATCTATTGTTGTCTGGTCTATGATGGAATCTTCACCAAAGTGATCTATTATATGAGAGAGAGACAACTTGACCATTTTGAATGTACTAGGATCTCTTTTCGGTCTGTGCGTGTTTTTATAACTTATTTTGGATAGTTTGTTTGCAATCCAGTGACTGCTTCAGATGAGTAATTGAATGCATCAGGGAGAATAAAGTGAAGATCAATCTAGACAGGACAGAGATGCCAATAGTGGATGGGCCCATTGACCCAGATATGTGACTTCCAGATGGGGTTATACCTTAGGAAGTAGACTTTCATTCTGAACATTTAGCTGAAATATTTGTTTATTAACTCTTTCTCTTCTTATGTAAATTATATTATGAGTGAATGATTTATTTGTGTTATCCTTAAAGCTTAATTAAAGAGTACTAAACAGTTTAAACATTTCACAGAATAAATGTAAAGGAATGCATGGAAATATATTTTTTCTTTTAGTCATGACAGTTGTACATAAGAGATCTTTTCATTAAGCCAAATTCTCTTTTCCCTATTCAGAAAAAAATATTAAATCTGCTCTAACTTGAGTCGCCGATAAGGCTGAGAAAGGCGGTATACAAGTATAGTAAATAAATAAATAAATAACCAAAAATTCCTGAGAAATGTAGATGACCTAACAATCTTTTTTATTTCTTTGTTTATGGTTTGCACAGATTCCTTCTGAAGACCTGTGTAAGAAGATGTCTGTGGTTCTGGGTAGTCCTCTAGGAAGAATTGAGATTCTGGGGTGCAAGGTGGGAGTGCATGAAATACACATTCAACAAGATGCCATGCCTCTGTCTGGGTAAGACTTTAGTTCCCATGGTTATTTTTGCCATGCATTCATTTGTATAACTAAGGATCAAATGTTTACATGATTTACTGCAGTTGTTTTGCAACTGAAATAGTATTTTAATTTTTGATAAACACAACAGTAAAAATCTACTCCTTAGAAGGCATGACTGGACAGAGATGGGCCACCTTTTGCTGTGTTTTGGAGAAGAACATCAGGCTATAATGTAAGGAATAAAGCGTTTTGGTTGACTTCTATGGATTGGCTTTGTGAATCACAGAGTTGCACTAGTGAAAATCTGCAGGCTTGATATTATTATTTCCATCATTACTTCTTCCTGTTTTGATCATCATCATCTAATAGCCAAGGGTAGGATTTTCTCCCAGTTCCAACACTATTACAGACCATCACATGGCTATCTGGCATTTAAATGTAATTATCTTAATTGTGATTTTCTCCATGTTACCATGACTTTGTATGATGTGGGAACTAGTAACCTTTCTTTTTTATCTAGCTTTCTTATGCAATATCATAGCAGAATTTGGCTTATTGCTCACAAGTATGTTTCTTTTGTGGACAAAGAGCAAACCAATATATTTTGCAATTTCTTCTGTTATGTTGGTTTACAGGGAATTTAAAAAGGAATGAACTCATTCCAGTCAAGTGCACATATTTTAATGAGTTGACTAAACCTGCATAAAACAGTCCTTGTGAAGAAAAAAGTGTTATTTATCTGCGTTTTACTAAATGTAATTGAGTCACAGAAAAGAAAATGTCTCTCCCAACAACATTAGTTTTAATGATGGATTTCTTTCTTCCTGTGTGAAGAGTACCTGCTATAGGAAGAGACCGACTGCATGTAATTATAGAGCCAACCTTGATATTAAGTAATAGCGGTGTGTGAATCCGTTATGTTTTTGTTTCGAATTTTGGGTGCCCCTGGTTCTGTTTCCAGGAAGATTCCGGGAGAGTACGAATTGGATTTCTAATTCATAACCCTGAGTTTTGCTTTGGGAAGAATCTTCCCAAAAATAGAAGGGGGGCACTCAAAAACAGAACAGATTCTGTGCCGTTTTGCACACCCCTAAAATATACCACGCAGCAGTGGCTAGGAACTTGCTGTTCCTCGTAAGTCTCTTCTTGTTGTAATTCCCTTCTCTTAGGGGATGAGAGCTATGTCTGCCAAATGGCATACTTACACCATAGGTGCTAAACTGTTGACTGTAGGTACTAGAGTACCATCCAATTTAGTGACTGGGCCAGATAGTGTCTTCATGTGGAATGGAAAGCGTGGGAATATTGTTCTTCATCTTAGGAATCAGAATGTAGTGAGCTTTATTATGAACTGATCAAAACATTTTAACTTGATGAATGGATTTATCAACTTACCACTGTAACCTAATTTTGTAAATATTGTACATAATTAGTAAAGTAATTGTTAAATAAGAGTAAATGTTAAATAGAACTATTTACAGCCTATTTCATTGAGGGCCCAAGAACACATAATTTATTATTTATGGAGATACTTTATTTCGTAAGGCAACTTCTGTTATTTAAAAAGTATTCTGCTGTATCTTTGTTACAGGAAAAAAAAACTTAAAATGTAAAGCTATTTGTAAATGCCCAGGTTGAAATATAATGTTTAATTTCATCTTATCATGGATAGAAAAGTGTTGTTAAAATATCGAGGCTCATTATCTTTGACAGAACAAAACAAAACAGAGTGTCTCCCTTTCTTTTCTTTTAAACATTGTCTAGTAAACAATGTAATAAGGAAATTGGAAAGCACATACAACCTATAAAAAAAAAGTAATGGATTCCTGTCAGGCAGAATTGTAATGAATACAAGTGTGGTTATAAATGTTTGTGTTCTGTAGTGGTGGAGGTATTTTGCATAGTGCTCCATGTTACAAGTAGTATATGTTACATATTTTATAACCTTAGTACTTAAGCTGTGTGTTAGGATCATTTGAGCAGATCTGTGATGCGCTTTGTGAAGGAGAAGTTCCAAATATTGAGCCCTAGAGAAAGTTTGTAACAATATAGGGCCCTTCCTAGAAATTAAGGAACTTTGTTCATGTTGTTCCCTTCAGGCCAATATTTATAGCTGTAGTTTCCTTACAATCTTGAATACTCTTCACCTTTTATTCCTTACTTTGGAGTGCAGCAGAAAGAGGCAAGCAGTTGAGCAGAATAAGCTCTCACCTGTCAAAAGATGGTTGGGATAGAGTTTGAGGAGTCCCAGAATATACGAACGAAGAAAAATTGCAAAGGTTGTGGAACATCTTGTAACACCATCAATATTAACCCATTTCTTACCCATTTACTATGCCATAACATGTCCACTTTGCTGATCTTTTTCTTTTGCCAACTGATCAGGACAATATGTGCTTCATGATTACAAAAGATATCACTGAAATGTCTTAATATCCTCCACTCCATGGTGTAATTTTACCAAAGAGCTTGTCTAGAAGTAGGTATTTTCTGTTTGCATGTGTAAACTCATCCCTGTCTTCCTGTGCAAATATCAATAAGATATTTTGATAAGAAATACAGGCCAGGTGTCTTCCACTTCATCTATTTGAATTAGAGATTTCTGATCACTTTGTTATTAATTGTCTTTGACTTATTTCCACTCTATACATCAGAGACCTCCATGAATCGTGATAATCAACAGCCCTGATCAGACCTTGCAAACTCGGAATCATTCCTACCATGATTGACTCAATTCATCTATAATAGCTATTATCCACTTCTCCTACTAACACTTTACCCAGAATTGTTGTCTTTTCTAATGAACACTGTGATCACAGCTGGTACAATAGTACTGCCATACAGTGAAGTCATTGTGCGGATATTTGTCAGTTTTTTAAAGATCGGTTTTTGTATTATGGTGATATTCACTGCAATAAAGCAATTTTCAGCCAGTTACTTCAATCAGTAACAAAATATGAGGTTTTTTAATAGTACAATACTGAAATCATCTTACAATAAGTAAAGACATATTTCAAAGTGTTTTAATACAATTTGCTTTTTTATAATATTTCAATTTCAAAATAGCAACATTGCATTAAAATCAATGAAGGTTGTGTGTTCCTTTGTCCCAAGAAATCACTTTTCATTTCAGCAAGTCAGTAGCTGAGCAGACTCTTCAGTGTGTGTGGTGTGTTTTAATGACCAAGGGATTATAAGTCTTGCAGTGCTTGCTCCTGATGGAATCCATGTTATTACTTTTAAATCTTCTTATCCTGTGCCTTCTTCCAGAAAGTCATCTTGCCCTCCCTAGCTGGTTGGAGTAGATGAAGCATTTAGAAAGCTCTCACTCCAAGCCTTCTTGTTTCTGACACAAGGGAGTCTTCAGCACTCGTGAATGAACATCAACTAAACCTCCTACAAGTGAAGCAAACATTGATTTGCTTTGAAGATGTCTTTATGCACATAGTAAAAGTGGTCAGAACAATGAGCATGGAATGGCTCACTGAGGTAGCGAGAAAACTTTTAAGTTTATTTGCACCAAATACTCAGCTCTGTGGAGTTTATTCAATTGAGAACTAGTGTGGTGAAGTCTTCAGCCTTTTCATACCTCTGTCAAGTTTAGCACGAGCTAACAAAAAAAAACTTTTAAAAATTCCCATATAATCTAATGAGCATGATCAAGGGGCAGAGGATGCTGATTGGCTGTTGGAAGATGGAAACATAGTAGTGGGTTTGTGTAGGAGCACATTGCACTACAATATTTAATGGTGTGTTGTTTTTCTTCTGATTATCTTTCTCTTCATATTTTTATCCCTCTTCATTTTTAAAAAAAATACAAAATCCAGAAATAATGAGTTTTTGTCTCTTAAGGGCCCTTCCACAGAGCCCTGTATCCTAGAATATCAAGGCAGAAAATCCCACAATATCTGCTTTGAACTGGATTATCTGAGTCGACACTCAGATAATTTGGGATTTTCTGCCTTGATATTCTGGGATATAGGGCTGTGTGGAGGCCCCAAGATTTCCTCATCCCCATGAAAAGCAGTAGGCTAAAGATTGTAGGAGGGGCTGCAGACCATGTGGTCAGATTTGGGATTATTTGGGACTCAGACTCCATTTTTAAAGCAGTACAATTTGGATGCCAGTAGAACAATATACTTTTAGAAGTCAGTAAAAGCAGAATGCTTCAGACTATACAGAGACTCTATTAAACTCTCAGACTAGAGAGATGCTTTAGACTTTGGACTGTTGATTATAACAAAGATGTCCTGTGTTATCTGCACAGAGAAACTACTTCAAATCCTATCTGTAACTGGACTTATAATCAAAGTATCTGCATGCTGAATTCATGAAGTTTGTGAGTAAATTTACTATGTTATTTCAAAGAAGTCTACTTTAGTTTTGGTCTCTTGAGAGCATGATTTAAACCAAGATGTTTTCAGGGAGAGGAGACATTTTTGGACAACTGAATAGAAACACTTCTGAAACTCTGCTATATATGTGTCTTGTTTTTGTGCATTGGCATATCTTTGTCCCTAACAGTTCAAAAGATATCTGGGTATATCGGTTTAATAGCTGAGAAACCTAATTGCCTTGTATGAATGTTGGTGGATATTTACCACTAAGGAGAAGATTGGCACAAGCAAGTTTTGAGCTCTTCTCATGGGATTTCCTGGTTTTCCCAAAAGGTTTTGACTATCCATTTCAAAAAGTTATGGAGATTTCCATTTCCAAAAAGAAAAAAATAAAATAAACTTAGATAGGACCTCTAATGGGATTCATGTAAGTGTTGACTTAACAAATTCCATTTATTCTGTGGGTCTCATCTGATTTGAACTGAAAATTGAATTTTGCCATATTTCTACTGATTTGTTAAGATTCCTGTGTGAGAGCTTGAATCATTCTTTTTCGCTCAGCCACCTGCTTCTGAAGGTAAGATAGTTTTCTCCCATGTATGCTGTGTCAATGTTTTAGTAGAATAGTGAAACATTAGCATAATAACTTGCATGTATATGTGAATGTAACTTTTGAATATT